AAATTTCATCCAGTAAATGGCAAAGCTTTGATTTTACATTAACTGCATTAATTTTTAAGTCCATGATTATGGTATATATATATATATATATATATATATATTACTGTACAATTTGTTTTAATGTATTAATTTAACTAATTTATTTGATGATTTAATCTTATGCTTTAAAATGCTATTATTAAACAAAGGGTTCCCTTTTAATGTCAAAGAGTCATTTGGAGAACGCCTATTATTTGAAATCGCAAGGTTTGATTGTGCTTAGATTGGTTTGTCACTCTACGGTCATTTTGTGCACCCTTTAGGCTAATGAGTCCGGGACCTACAGTTTAACGTGGATTCCGAACCACTCACAAACATCCGTGTCACCGCCAGAAAACGAACCTGAAGCACCAAATGCCAGAGGGCTGGCCACTTGGCCACCGGGTGCCATCAGGTTATCATCTTTGTTTAGAAGGAAATACCTATTATTTGAATTGGTGCATTGATGCAAATTTGAATTTTCTTAATTCCTGTTTTGAGTAGAATTGAATTTTTCTTAAAAAGTGTTTGAGGGCCAGCCGTCCCATTCTGTATTCATATAATCAAGAGGGAGCGTACATCTCTGACATAAGGATGCTGTTGCAATATAGTGATCCAAAATTGATGTTTTGAAATGATGATTTCAAAATTCTATCGTTATTTTATTTTTTGGTCTTGTGCATTCGAATTATCATCATGTATTGCTGCTGGCATTTTTTTTTTCAATTCCTTCTATTAGCTCACACTCTCCCTATATATATCTTGTTCACATTTTCAACCGTTCATGAAATGCTTCTTATTCAACCACTACAGTTCAAATACATTTTTTTTTAACTTGCAGTGGATGACATTTCATGTTAATACAGTTTTTTCAAACATTAGTTCATTCATTTAATTTAATTAATTAATTTGAGTTTTAAAGGGGAGAACACCATTTCTCTTCTATAAGATATTTAGCAGGATATAAATTTAGGAATAAATACCGTCAGTGGCGAAGCGTGTGGAAAAAAATTTCTTTTTCAGATTCTTTTTTTCATTCTGGGTTCTAGTCTGAGAATGGAAAATGAAACATGCGAATAAATGAGTGAGAGAGATGGAAAGTGAGAGAAAAATTTTTCTAATTTAAAAAAAATGAATGAAAATTATTTAGAAAGGACTTTCTGCAATAGAGTGAAAAAAAAGTAGGAATTGACTTGAATTTTTTTTTTTTTTTATTATTTGTTTTTCAAACAAAACATTTCTGTTGGTGTTTCTGTGAAGGTTTTACAAAACATGCCAGTACTTCATGCTCTCTGTTATTTTTGCAATGTATAAATGTAAAATATTCCGAATTCTTAAGAAACTAAAGAATAAAATCTATTTTTTTCCTCAATTTGTTCATACATTTTTAAAATTCATACACCTTAAAAAAAGGTCCTATGTTGATACTTTGACGCCAACAGCAGCAGTAAGGTCAAATTTTCTTAGAGGAACAACAAAAATTCTCTCATTTCTATCAAAATTTATGAATTGTATAACTGTTATGAAACTTGTGACGGCGATAATTCTTTGTTTTCATCTGAGTGCAAATGATAAAAATGCAGCATGGTTGCATATCAGGAAAGGCCTGTAGAGGGCGTTGATGAGCTTCCAGCCTAGCCCAAAATTGATTTTCAGAATTTCGTTTGGTTTGGCTTGCCGCTCTTCTGTTATTTTGTGCACATTTTAGGCTAATGAGACGGGAATTTATGGTATAACGTGGATTCCGAACCACCAACCAACATCCATGCCAGGATTCAAACCTGAAGCAGCAAAGGCCAGAGCTCTAGCCAATTGGCCATCAGGCCGCATTCAGAATTTGACAGGGGAAGAATCATTTGAATCACAAAGGTTGGCTGGTCAGCTCTTTGAGTTCCCCGCTACCACGACCATTCTTGCAATGCTATAAAGAGGCGATGAAGCTCTTAGACGACATGGAGATTGCTTCCTCATCTGACAATCATATACGATATCACACTATGTTCTTTGACAGTTGCTCCTATCCGTACTATTGCGATGCTTTTGGTTGATAGTCATTTGTCATCGTTATACCCATTACATGTATATCTTTGACAACCTATCTGGCGACCTTAGTTTGCTAACACTCTGGCCTTTGGTACCACAGGCTTCGGGTTCCAACTCTGGATGTTTGTGAGTAGAAATAAATTGATTAATCAATCAATTTATTAAGCGACTGCAGAATTTGTGACGAATTTATTTTATCCAAGATTGTCAGGAACAATGGTTTCATCATGGCTTTGTTAAGTTACTGTTAATTACTCATTTAAACCACCTCATTTTATGAGTAGCTTGGAGAAGACTTCGAATGAGCATTGATGTATACCTATTATCAATCATTTATTTCATTTATATCTCTAACCTCCAACAAGTGGGGCCTGATGGCCGAGAGACTAGCGCTCTGCCTCTCGGTACCACAGGGTTCGAGTCCCGGTGGTGTCATGGATCTTTGTAGTGGTTCGGAATCCACTTTAAACCGCAGGTCCCGGTCTAATAGGATCGTATCGTTGCGGGTTAGTGTTACTCCGGATCCGCAGCTTAACTTCAAGATAAATACACCCCCCCTCCCCCGGGTAGAGCTACATGAGTAACAGCAGTGCTGCCTTTGCTTATGGCATAAGGATTAACTGTCTGTATTGCCAGCTGCATTAGAACAACAACATGGGCAGTATGAATTTTTTATTAGAGAATCTTTTAATTTAGCATAAATTTATATTGTCAAATAACATGGTTTCTGATGCTATAGTTTTAAAGTAATGTAGCGTGTTAAGAAAGTTTAATTTCGCAGCTAAACTCGCGATTCAGAAAAATCAAAAAAGAAGTATTAGAATTGCAGAAATTAATCCATTTAAAAATATAAAAAGAATGATAAAAAAAATCAAACTGAAATCACGAATGCGAACAAGAACAAAATAACAACAATAATAAAAATCAAAGTGAGTAACATGCTTATGGCATAAACGATAATTGTCTAAGTATTTGCCAGCTGCATCAAAAAAAAATAACCTCCTTCAACTAGTAAATATAAAATTAAACCAATAATTTAATTTGATGTGTGGGGTTTGCATGAATATAAGAATTATTACATTATAATATTAATTTGAAATTTTAGATTAGGCAGGCGCAAAAATGGATTACAATTTTTCATTAGACAAATCATACTTTTTTTTTTAAATCTATTGATATCCATTATTGAAAAAGTTTATTTACAAATAAAATATTTTTTTTTCTGATGCAGCTCTCAAACACTTAGACAGCTTGGTCTTGGATGCCTTAAGGCAAGCGCTGCACAGACGTTACTCACTTTGCATTACCCAGGGGGCGCGTGTAGCTTGAAGATAAATCACGGACGCGGAGTAACACTGCCCCGCAACTCTCTACGATCCTATTAGGACCGGGACCTACGATTTAAAGTGGATTCCGAACCACTACAAACATCCATGGCACCGCCGGGACTCGAATCCGAAAGCTGCGGTACCGAGCGCCAGAGAGCTAGCCACTCGGCCATTCAGGCCTCACAAATAAAAATATAAATAATAAATAAATATAATAATTTTCCAATAAAATATATATAATTTTACGCGAATTAATGGTATAACAACGGTTTTTAGCTTTGAGGGATTAAAAAATAATTTTATACATCAGGTCCCTCTTAATTAATGCTTCATCTAACGACGGTTTACACTGAAGTGACAAAAGTCATGGGATACCTCTTAATATCGTGTCGGCCCTCCTTTCGCCCGGCGAAGTGCAGCAACTCGACGTGGCATGGACTCAACAAGTCGTTGGAAGTCTTCTGCAGGAATATTGAGCCATGCTGTCTGGATAGACGTCCATAATTGTGAAAGCGTTGATGGTGCAGGATTTTGGGCACGAACAGACCTCTCGATGATGTCCCATAAATGCTCGATGGGATTCATGTCGGGCGATCTAGGTGGCCAGATCATTCGTTGGAATTGTCCAGAATGTTCTTCAAACCAATCGCGAACAGTTGTGGCCCGGTGACATGGCGCATTGTCATCCATAAAAATCCCATTGTTGTTTGGGTACATGAAGTCCATGAATGGCTGCAAGTGATCTCCAAGTAGCTGAACATAAGCATTTCCAGTCAATGTTCGGTCCAGTCGCACCAGAGGACCAAGTCCATCCCATGAAAAAACAGCCCACACCATTACAGAGCCACCACCAGCTTGAACAGGGCCTTGCTGACAGTTTGGGTCCATGGCTTCGTGGGGTCTGCGCCACACTCGAACCCTACCATCAGCTCTTACCAACTGAAATCGTGACTCATCGGACCAGGCCACGGTTTTACATTCATCTAGGGACCAACCGATATGCTCACGTGCCCACGAGAGTCGCTGCAAGCGATGTCGTTCTGTCAGTAAAGGCACTCGAGTCGGTCTTCTGCTGGAATAGCCCAAGAAAGCCAAATTTCCCCACACAGTTCTAACAGACAAGTCCCTTGTACTTCCCACATTGATTTCTGCGGTTATTTGACGCAGTGTTGCTTGTCTATTAGAATTTACGACTCTTTGCAAACATCGCCGGTCTCGGTCGTTAAGTGCAGGCGGTCGACCACTGCGCTGTCCATGGTGGGATGTTATGCCTGAAATTTCATACTCTCGGCACACTCTTGACACAGTGGATCTGGGAATGTTGAATTCCCTAACGATTTCCGAAATGGCATGACCCATGCGTCTAGCTCCAACTAACATTCCGCGTTCAAAGTCTGTTAATTCCCGTCGTGCGGTCATCATCACGTCAAAACCTCTTCACATGAATAACTTGAACAGAAATGAAAGCTCTGCGAAAGCACTGCGCATTTATACCTGTTCTACGCGATGCTACTGCCATCTGAAAATTTGCATGTTGCTATCCCATGACTTTTGTCACTTCAGTGTATAATAACTTTGAGTGATGAAAAATAAATTAAAATTGTATTTAACCGCAGTCGGCAGGATTCGAACCTCAAGGCCATCCAAGTTCATCCCAATGGATTTCAAGTCCATCGCCTTAACCGCTGGCCGCGACTGCTCGCTGTACGATGGAAATATTAACAAATTTAATGTTTATTCAGTCATATTTCTTGGCTACATGTTTACTAATTGCCAGGTGTTAGATTTTCTTCTTCACGATAACTTACGTCGGTATTTAGATAGGCAAATTTGCTACCGCTCTCGTACGATCAAATTCAATAATGCAAGTCAGTACACATGCATATACCACTGTACCCAGAAAGGAGGACCAAATATTATTTTTTTTTTCAAAAACTTTTTATTTATTCTTCCAAATTTATTTCATCGCCTTCAAAGTGATCCCCTCCGGACACAATGCACTTATGCCAACTTTTTCCCAAACCTCGATGCATGCTAATGCGGTCTAATGGCCAAATGTCTAGCGCTCTCGCCGTTGGTACCGAAGGCTTCAGGTTCGTATCCTGGCGGAGGCATGAATGTTTGTGAGTGGTTCGGAATCCACGTTAAACTGTAGATCCCGGTCTATTTAGCCTAAAATGTGCATGAGATGACCGTAGAGAGAAAAACCAAACCAATCTATGCAAGCTAAAAAGTTATCGGCAGGGATGGCCTTCAAAGCGCGCTGCGATTCACGTTGAATCTCTTCAATTGACTCAAAAAGATGTCCCGGAGTGGTCTTTTGAGTTTAGGGAATAGCTTGAAGTCGCACGGTGTGAATACGGTGATTGTGGAACGATATGGGTTTCATTTTTGGCGAAAAAGTCACGAAGAATCAATGCACTGAGAGCTGGCGCATTCAGTGTTTTCGGTACTCATCGTGATTTGACGCTTTTGCGGCCCAAAATGAAATGGACCGATCCTTTTGAAATTCCAACATCATCAGCAAGGTCTCTAATTGTAAATAGACGGTTTGCAAGCTCCAGATCTTTAATTTTTTTGGACGTGAGTTTCGTCTGTTGAGGTTGGTGGTCGACCCGAGAGCTCTTCGCCCTCAACGCGTTCTCTGCCTTCTTTGAGCTATGTATACCACTTGTAAACATTTCCTTCCGATATAGGAATGCTCACCGAATGCCTTCTGCAACATTCTGTACGTTTCTGCAAGCAAAATTGAATGCAAGTTCTTTGCTTAATTCAGTCAGACATTTCAAAAATCGCCGGAAACAGTTTTAGCGTTTCACAAAGGAAAGCGTCACTCAAGCACTCATGAACATTTTGACGTCCAATTTCACACATATGTCAAGGACAGTGCCAGACGTGAAAAAGAAAAAAAAAATTGAAATTCCATAAGTCCCGGGAATTTTAAATTGAAAATTGCTCTTATTCAATTCCTTCTATTAGCTCACACTCTCCCCATATATATCTTGTTCAAATTTTCAGCCGTTCATGAAATACTTTTTATTCATCCACTCAAGTTCAAATATGTTTTTTTGAACTTCTAGTGAAGGACACTGGATGTTCATACAGTTTTTTTCAAACATTAATTCATTCATTAAATTTAATTCATTTATTTTAATTTTCTTACATTTAAGTTGCGTGTATCTAATAATAGATGGCGCCAGATGTAAAAGTAAAATTTCAATTTTATTTGTAAAGGACTTTTCTGCAATATAACAAAAAAAAGTAGGAATTGGCTTTACATTTTTTTTTTATATTACTTGTTTTTTGGACACAGTAGTATATATAAATAACTGGAGCAATAAGGATAGCGCTGAAAGTGTTAAACCGTCGTATCTGAACTAGAATTTCTTTTTGGCCCTACTGTCTTGCAGAGTTCAGTCGCCGAAAGTATTGAGAATCTTTAGAGTTCCTTCTTCCTTAAAATTTCTTCACAAACCTAGATAGGGTAATGCATCAAAACTCTTAAAAATAATCTCTTAGCTATGTACGGTTTCCACACACCTGCTCTTACGAATGAAATATTATACAATAAATTGATGTGTTAAGCAATTATGTAACCACAATAAAATTACATTTTTTTTTACATAAATCTCAAATTTTTATACATATCTCAAAAATGGGGGCTTGATGGCCGAGTGGCTAGCGCTCAGCCGCACAGTGTCCCAGGCTTCGGATTCGAGTCTCGGCGGTGCCATGAATTTTTGTAGTGGTTCGCCGCTTTAAATAGTAGGTCCCGGTCTAATAGGGCTGTTGGACGTAGGGCTGACAACCCTATCCCGTGAGAAGAAAAACATCTCTCGTCTCGTAATTTGCCAGTAGGGCAACTGGGCTGTCGCGGCAATGGTGATGAAGTTTCAAAAAAATTTCTATGCATCATATGACCCTGTGCAATTGTCATTTCATAAGCGAGCGAAAGGATTTCCAGCTTTAAAATAAATGCCATGCAGATTAACTTAAATTAAATTATTAATTTTCATCGCATTTCGGGTAAACAGGCGTTTTATTACTTGCTTTTTAAAGTGGAAAATTAATATGTGCTATTAAATCCAATAAAATTAGAGCACTGATGCTCGGTTTCGCAGGTTTCGGGCTCGAGTCAGGGATGTTTGTAGTGGTTCGGAAAACTTTAAACCGTAGCGGGATCTGATGGCCGAGTGGCTGGCGCTCTGTATTACAGGCTTAGGGTTCAAGTCCCGGCGGTGCCATCGATGCTTATAGTTGTTCGGAATCTATTTTAAAACGTAGGTCCTGGTCCTAATAGGACCGTAGCGCGTTGCGGGGGCATTGTTACTCCGCGCCCTCACACGCGCCCCCCTGGGTAACATCTGTGCAGCGCTTGCCTTAAGGCATCCAAGACCAAGCTGTCTAAGTGTTTGCCAGCTGCATTAGAACAAAAAAAAAGTTTCACCCTGTACTGAGCCCCCTATTCGTGCCTTTATGGCAGCGTGCGCCGCTGATGAGCATGAGGACTGAGGTTCCATCCGCTGGCGGCTTTGCTGTAGACACTTCAAAAAACGAAGAAATTCGATGGCGTTTGGGATGTTCAGCATCTTACCTCTTTAATCAGACTACCTGATAGAAATTTTCCGGGTTTTCTCCTACACAATAAGCAAATGCGCTGTTGTTACCCTTAAAAAGTCCTCCCTGAAGGCACTGTCCTCCTCCTTCAGCGTCAAGGAGCCAAGTCAGACTTCTACCTACGGAAGTACCTTAGACTACTCTTAGGACACTGAGGAATAATCACATACAAATTACTTCATTAGCTACTCCTTCCAGAATCCAGTAATAAAATACAACCATTAACCACTAATGAAGGTGTTAAGAATAGTCCCAACAACAACCCTGTATTGAAATAAAAATTGTTAGTTATAATAAGCATTTGGCGAAATTCCGAGAAGCGCTGTGTCGCCGAACGTCTCTATCGGTGCCGAATTAAAGAGCGCAAACTGTATTCACTCCTCGTAATATGCAAAAAGCCTTTCACAAAAAGATGCAAATTATGTGATACGATATTGAAATTTTATAGTTATTTGAAATGAAATTTTTATAAATTTCTAACCGCCGATGTTGTTTTTATTCGTGAGCGTGAACATTATTCAATTCCTACTATTAGTTCAAACGCTCCCTCTATATAACTTGCTCCAATTTTCCATCGTTCATGAACCACATTTTATTCATCCATTCAAGTTCAAGTACATTTTTTTGAACTTGTAGTGGATGACACTGGATGTTGATACAATCTTTTCAAATATTAATTCAGTAATTAAACTTAATTAATTAATTCTAGTTTTTTTTTTTTTTTTTTTTTTGAAATTTAAGTTGCATGTATCTAGTAATAGATGGAGCTAGATGTAAAAGGAAAATTTCAACTTTATTTGTAAAGGATTTTTCTGCAATATAGAGGGAAAAAAGTAGGAATTGACTTGACAAATTTTTTTTATATTACTTGACAACTTACATGGTAATAACTAGGATGCATTGGGATATATTAATGATTTTCTTTAAATGAAACTTTTGAAGAAGTATTTCAAATCACATGACAAGATAGCCATATTTCCTTATTATTTCTATTATAACAATAAAATTATATTGGTGGATGCATACGTAGTAAAAACTCTTATGTATCTCTACTGTTTGTTATTTGATTTTTGTTTACTCATTTTTGTGGGCTTTACGAACTTTCATTGTAACAAGTATATACATTAGGACGCTAATAGTGCATATGGAGTGAAGTAATACGCAATGTGTGATATCCAACGTGTTGTCTGTACATAAGTATTACAACAAGTAAGATTGCGCATCCAACGCAAACAATAATGAGTAATTTTACGATTTTTAACAATCAAACAATAATTTTAAGAGCTTTTTTCATCGTCATCATGATTGGCGCAACAGCCCCATGGTGGGCCAAGGCCGTCTGCCTACTCGAAACATGAGATGTCTTTTTTTTTTATGGGGTAGGGTTGTCAGCCCTACGACTGACGCTCTACAGTTTAAAGTGGATTCCGAACCACTGCAAATATCCACGGCACCGCCGGGACTCGAACCCGAAATCTGTGGAGAAATCAGAGCGCTAGCCACTCCGTCATTCAAGCCCCACGAGAGTTTTTGTAAACACAAAATTAACAATTGTTGAAAAAGAAATGCTAAAATATAAGATCGAACCTGAGTGGAAAAATAAATAAAATCAATCGGTGTCGATTGATTTTGTTATATATCAGGTCCCTCGTAATTAATGCTTCATTTAACGACGGTTTATAATAACTTTGAGCTGCGCGGGAAGATCCCAATGGATTTCAAGTGCATCGCCTTAACCGCTCGGCCACGACTGCTCGCTGCGAGAATGAAAGACTACCAACTTAAATACATGTTCAACGTCACATTTCTTTGCCTTCGTGTTTATTAATTGCCAGGTGTTAGATTTTCTCCTTCACGCGGATTTGCTACTGCTGTCGTACGATCAGTTTTAATGATTCAAGTCAATACACATACTCGCAACAACATGAGCATACAACGTAGCAACCAGGGCCGGATTTTCCTATAGGCTAACTAGGCTTCAGCCTCGGGCCTCCAGATCCAGAGGGGCCTACATTCAAATTGTTAGCAAAATTAGAATGACACTTTTCTAAAAACAATAAACATTAAAACACTGCATCGAAA